CCCCAAAACCCCAAAACCCCAAAACCCCATGGCATAATTATCTTGTAATGATTGGATGATAAAATGTAAACAAATTAACGTCATCATAGATATATAAGATAGGTGAGTCAAATTCATTTTCTTCTCTCTTCGGGCATCTCACCAAATGTGTATTGCTTGTCTCCTAAGAACTTTAGTAAATATTCGTGATATTTCCAGAGAGTATCTCTGTGAGAGACAGTGATGAGAGTAATTCCTTGGCTCTTCATGTAAGTGTAAAGATGACCCTCAACATCAACACTAACTGCACTAGTGCATTCATCCAAGATAGCGTAAGTTGGCTTGTGGTAGATTAATCTGGCCATAGCAATTCTTTGTTTTTCACCACCACTCAATACATCATTCCAGTCATTGACAGCTTACCAACCACCTTCTCTTCCAACTAGGTAACCAAGTCTGACTTCGTTCAAAATATGTTAAAGATCCTCATCTGAAACTCCCTTTCTCTTTTGATCAGCATGAGTATTTGGATAGATAAGTTGATCTCTAAGTGATCCATTTGGAAGATAAGGTCTTTGTGGAATATAGAAAATTTTCTCAATAGATGGTTTGGTAAGTTTACCGCCGAAAATTGGCCATAGTTCTCCCAAGATTCTGAATAGAGAGCTCTTACCACAACCGTTTGGACCAGTAATCATAAGATTCATTCCTGGAGAAATTTGGAAGTTCATGGCTGGGATTAAAGTATCTCCGTTAGGTGAAAGAATAGGAACGTTTTCGAATATAATGTCATTAGAGATGGCAATTTGTCCGTGATTCTTCTTAAGACTCTCGTCCATCATATTTGTTTTGCTTGGAATACTTTTAACACCATTATTCTTTTACTCTTCCTCTTCTTGATCTTCAAGACTGTTAGAAGTAACCATAATTCTCTTGTATTTCCCGTTCTCTAGATCATCAAGCACCTCTTTCATTTCATATATAAGAGTGGTGTAACCTGCAAGGTTTTAAACATCCTTATATGAAACGACTATTCTTCCAATAGCTTTGGCTAAATTGATAAGGAGAGAGGAGTTTCTGACGTAATCTTTGGTAATCCTTGATGGGTCATTTCCGACTTCTCTCAAATACCTCTCTTTACCTGGTCCGAAGACTGGCAGACCAATGACTGTATAGCCTACCATGACAGCTCCATACTTAACTAGCATAGAGTCATAAATTCCCATTAGGAATCTTCTGTAGAGAACTTCTTTCACATGCTTGTGTAACTCATAAAATTTGTTGTTAATATGAGTCTTTTCCCAATCACTTCCATTATAAAATGCAATTTCTTCTGCATGGTTCAGTAAGTCAGAGTGTTTTGATCTATATTCTCCCTCAAGTTTTTGCTCAATAGCAGTCAATTTACCAAATGCAGGTGATACTACTCTGATGATGCAAGCCGAGAGAAAATACCAGGCGAATGTGAGGCCTGGACCTTCCCAACCGACTAGCTCAGCTAACTTTCTGGAGAACAAGAATATATCAAGTACTGGCTTGGTAAAATTGAGATATAAGTTAGCAAGTGATTGAGCCCACTTGTCGAGGTCTTGAGTTAGTCTCTGATCTGGGTTTTATATTCTACTATCAAGATTACAAATCTACAGAATTAGTTATTCAATGGGTAAAAATTACTTTGTAGAAGAACATCTTCTGGAGATATTGAGTATGGAAGTATCTAGTCAATCTCTCTCTGAAGGCTAATGCCAATAATTTAGAATAATACTCCATAGCTGAGTTAACAGTAGAAGATGGGATAGCAAAAAGCATCAATCCGAAAATCTATAACCATATAAAATTACATTCAAATATTTACTCTTCTTAAGAACTCAGATAAACTCTTATTGACTATTGCCTTGACTACCTGACCGTTTACATCAGCAAGCCATATACTCATGTAGGTTCTAACAACTAAAAGTCCTGTTAGAATGACTACATAGACTGCCTCTCTCGAATTGTAAGATGGAATTGCGATCCTTAATAATTTCTTAATTCTCTCGAAAAACTCTTTATCAACATTACCTTTTCCTCCCTAAATCATTATCATCCTAAGACTAATAAAATAAATACCCTTCTGGCTTTTCTATTTCCTGCATCACCAAGCATTTTCTTTACACGCTCTTCATCTCTCGCATTCTTTTGTCTGATTGCATATAAAAGTGCTGCCACTATTGCAGCAGTTGCTACCTAAACTCAGTTTTAGAAATGCTTTTGTGATTACCTTTCTTTGAGGAGTTGCTAATGATGCTTTGATGTAAGGCATCAAAGTATTAGCTAGATTCATAAATGCTTAACTCATTTGATAATTAGATGTAGAGTTTCCCCTCAAAACAAGAAAATTTATTTATATTTAATAATACGCTCTATTTTACACGATGTCGTCATTGAGGGGTTTTGGGGTTTTGGGGTTTTGGGG